TGATCTCCCGGGATAGTGGGGTGCGGTAGTCATCCTCGTCGCTGTGCGCCGGGGATCTCAGGGGAGATGAGCCGTTCGCGGTGTGTCCCGGGTTTCGGGTCCTTGATCTTCGGCCTGAGTTCCCGCCTCGGGGTTCCTCGGTTGGGATCGCCGCGGCGTTCTGGTTCCTCCCGCGACCGTGCCTCGCCGGGGATCTGGTGCGCTCCCGTGTCGCTTGCGGGCGGCGTCTCTCCAGCCGTGGTCGGCGGTTCCTGAGTCGAGGTGAGGGGCTCCTCGAACCTCCGTTCTGGTCTTCCCGCTAGGGGTACCTCGGGGAGCCGCCGCGTTCCAATGCTCCAATTCTAGCGTTCTGTTGGAACAGCAGCTGGTTCGTCTGGTTGATGGCTGCAAAGAGAGCGGCTACCGTTGGGTCTGCTCCCGCCGGGATGGGAACGGGGTGGAATGCTGGCGGGCTCGGGGGGCGATGGTCGGCCTGTAGGGGCCGTTCCTCGGATGATGGTGAAGCAGTTCGCCCGTCCCTTTCGTCGGCTTCCGTCAGGCGTGCCGTTCCTATCTGCTTCCCGTTGGTGGCGGTGTTGAGCGCAAGATCGTGCGGAGTGTCATCGCGGCGTGGGCTGGCCATGACCGTGGAGGTTTGGTGAAACTTTTGGTTTTTCTGCTCGGAGTAACGGGGAAGTTTCAGGTTCCCACAGACGGCGCCACTGATCTGACCTGATCAGGAGGGATCACGGACTGGCCACACTCCGCTGGACGGTTATCTGTTCGCCGGGGTAAGAAAGAGGAGGGGGTGTACCTGCAAAGCACTCCGACGCCCAAGTAAGAAGTTGGACAGAGAGGAAGCAATAGTACAGAAAAGGGGCAAGAAGAGTTACCTGACCCTCTTGAAGAAGAGGGTATTTATAGAGAGACCCCAGCGCTGGGCCAACAGTCATTCGAGGTGGGCCAGACGACCAGGCCCAACCCTAATGACTGCTAGGGCTTACGTGGCGTAGTGAAGACCAGGACGTGGTCTTCGCCCTAGTTCAACCGCTCCTAGGTCTCCGGAAAGTGGGTTTGACCTGCTCTTTCGGAGGTGGGCGGTTGGCCGATGACGTGTCCCCGCGGAGGGGAGCACGTGGAGAACGTGCGCCGAGCACGTTATTCTCCCGCGGAGGGAGCCCGGGTAGTCTTGCTCGTCCGGCGTGATGGACGACAGAAGGGACGCGGAGCGGTAGCTTGTGCCCGGCGGCCAGTCCTGCCCGTTTGAAAGGGCGCGTGCCCGGCGCGCCCAGTTCGCTTGTTGGGCCGCCTTTGGTATTGGGCCTGCCGAGGTGAGGCCCATACCGGAACAAATTTCAAGGTTACAAAAAATTTAACATCATAATAAATTATGATCCCGAACTTGTTCCAACATTGGGACAATGTTTTCGTGTGTCCGAGCTGACGACATATACTACATTTCTTTTCAATTTGTCACTGTATCCATTTCGGTTCTAATACATATGTTGTTGGGGCACTCCATTTTCTTCCTTTTCTTTTTTTGTTGTGCCAAGTTACACCCCTTGATACATAGGTCAATAGTCTTCTTTTGCTTCCATTGGGAAGCTATTGCTTATACCTTGAATAAGTTTATAAATTTGTAAACGCCAGATAGATGCAAGAAAGCATCCGACCGAACACTTGAACACCCAAGAAACATATGATACTAACACTTTCTACCATAGCCAAAACACTTAAACATCACATCTCCAAAACATCCAACAAACACATGGCTATCAAATACCATAAAAACCATTTCTTCCTTTTTCCAACGAAACATTCACACCAATGTCACACCACTCACTAATAACCCCATCAACCCAACCTAACTACAAAGACATGAGCAACAAACTCAATTACGACAACACATTAATACAAACATAAGACTCAATCGACTAATCGCTCATAAATAACTCCATCAACCCAAACAACACAACCTAACTACAAAGACATGAGCAACAAACTCAATTACGATAACACGTTAATACAAATATACGAATACGTAGATTTACAAAAAATTGGGAGAGAATCTAGTGATGATGATACTCTTGGGACCTCGTATGAAACACCTCTTCAGGTGAATAAACAGAGACCTATATGAGAAATGTACCCCGGAGGATGTAGAATCGGTGGCATGTATCAAGCGGGTGATTATCATTAATGTAAAAAATATTCTCCTATGTAATATGATTTAAATTAAATATTATTAGTATTTAATCAATATTTTTAATTAATTAATTAATTATTTTAATTAAAATATAAAATAAAAAAAATGCAAAGTATTAGGGTCAAATTAGTTAAATACTATAAAATTAAGAAAAAAAATATTAATTAAAAACAATTTGAAGTATAAAAATAGGTGAAATTTTATAGAGAAATTCTAAATAATGTCTTATTAGAATATATATCGCGTCCTTTTTAATTTTATTTATTGGAGGTGCCAACTAAATTGACTAAGGTTATAGGAGATGTTAATTCGTTTGATTTGCCTTCTAATTGATATAAATTTTACATTGCATTTTTTTTGAAATATGAGTATTTTGAAAAATAGTGAAAAAACATAATTATTTTTATAATATTGTTGAAAAAATGATTTGTTGAAAAAATATTGCATAGGTCCTTTAAGTTATTTTAAAATATCAAGTTAGTTCTTTAAGTTTTTTTTTTATAAGCTTTGATCATTTATAGTAAATAACATTTTCGCCGTTTCCCTTTTTAAAAATTTCTTTTTAAAAAAATCTATGTGACACAAAAAGAGCACATGTGGCATTTAACAATGATGATGTGTCATTTTATTTTATTATTTATTTATTTTTTAATTCCACGTTGATTTTTTTAATTTTTAATTATTTATTTATTTTTTTAATTGAAAGGACTTGATTGTTACATTTTTAAAAACATATGCGACGTGAATGTTACAAATTAAAATATAACTTAAACATTTTACACTATGTGAATCTTAAACATTTTACACTATTTTAAACCTTAAACAATTACAAGACAATATACTAAGCATTAAATAATCTAAATATTGTCAAAAACATTGTTATAATATTATAAACCAATACATGCATATACAAAAAAAAAGAAATTTTTTGGTCCATTTTCATCATGAAATATATATATATATATATATATATATATATATATATATATATATATATATATATATATATATATATATATATATATATATATATATATATATATATATATATATATATATATATATATATATATATATATATATATATATATATCACTACAAGTTTAATTCACTATTACAAATCATGCACACTTCATATTTTTTTGGAATTGCAAAATGAATAATTTTGGAGACTATATATACATTATGAGTTTCGTTCAGCTATGGTAGGTCAGACAGATACATGTGATCCTGTAGGAGGCTGCTGTAAAAGATATGGATTTCTACATTATATTAAAGTGAGTGAAAGGTGAATAGAATGAAATAATGGAAAGCTATGAAACTACATTCCTATGCGCAAGCTATAAAATCAGATGCGATGTTCTTCATTTATTTTAGAGAATTGATAACTTCTTTGTTATGGATTTATCTGCATGTACTAACATGTTTCTGTTGGAGTACTTGTCAAACAAGGTAATGGAAAAAAAGAAGGATAGATGAATTTAGAGTGAAAAGAGGTTATTTTTTTAACAATTGTGATATATTTTATTCATATTTCTCAAAATAGAATTTACAACATTTATGTAGCATTTTGGTTAAGCAACTAACCTCACTAACTAACCACTTGTTAGTTAGTCAATTTAAACTACTAAACTGAGTACAAACTAACTAACTAAACCTATATACTTGCACAAGTGCATAATATGTATGTGAAACTAACCACTTAGTTGATATATTTCGTTGATATATTAGTAGGGATGTATAGTATAACTACTTCACTAAACTACTAAAACAGAATTACAATATAATAGTTTCATATTTAACCATTTATCATAATTTATTTTTTCACTCTTTGACCTAGTACTTGTGTTGTGAAATATAGTATGCAGGAACGTCTTGGCTAAAGCTGAATTATACAAGGTAAGTTGTTGAATTTTTAGTATAAACATTGCCTTTGTTTGGTTGAACAACTAGTATTGTCAGATAATGTTGCTATCTCCTATTTATGTTTTCCTTTATTTGAACTATACAAGTAACAAATCAGAAGGAGAAAAAATCATTAGAAGAATTGTTATAATGTTATAAACCAATACATACATTGTTATATTTTTCTTCCCATTTATTAGATTATGTATTTATTGGTTTATGAATGTATTGGTTTATAACATTATAACAATGCTTTTGAAAATATTTAGATTATTTAATGCTTAGTATGATGTTTTGTAATTGTTTAAGGATCAAAATAATGTAAAGCAACACAGTTATTGTTTAAGATTCAAAGTAGTGTAAAACAACATATAAGTTATATTTTAATTTGTAATACTCGCGTCCCATATGTTTTTAAAATGTAACAATAAGGTCTTTCCAATTAAAAAAAATCCACGTAAAATTAAAAAATAAAATAAAATGACACATCATTGCTGTTAGATGACACATTTGATCCGTTTGTATCACATATGCTTTTTTGAAACAGAGATTTTTAAAAAGGTCAACGACGCAAACGTTACTTAACATAAATGATCAAAGCGTTACAAAAAAAACATGAACGACTAACTTAATATTTTAAAATAATTTAAATGACCTAGACAATATTTTTGCCAAAAAATAAATATTCTTTTTTTTTTCCTTTTATATTTAGCTATATAATTATTAAAAATTGAATCAAAAGTTATAAAATGTGAAAGTGATATTTAAAAATCTCAATTTTTTTTTCTTTACAACAATTCAATGTATATTTATTAGTATAAGCATGTTTTTGAATTTGATGTCTATAAAAAGGCGCACACATAAGAGCGAAGAAGAAATTGCAAAGTAACAAACAGAAAAGAGCGGGAAAATGGAAATTGGTATGCTACCAATCTCTGCATCAAAGAGAGGAAAACTCTTAGCTGCTGGTTACACAACACTCCACGCCATTTCTCGCACTTCCACCACCATCCTTGCTCGAGGTTTCGTTTTTTTACTTTTCCTTTTATTTAGGGATTCTTTTGCAATTTCGAAAATGCGAGGGACTAATTTGATACGGAACTGCCATTTTGAGGATCAAATTAGGGTTTTGCTCTTTTCTGTAGTTCTAGTTTTTCAACACATTACCTGATTTTTACAGATATAGAAGTTTCTGAGAGTGAAGCTTCAGAAATTCTGAAATTTGCAACCAAAACTAGTGCTTTGGACAGATCAAGTGGGAGTAATACTAACATTATTGATGGTATGTGTTGATTCCTTCCAATGATGTTTTATTTATTTATTTTTTCAAATTATTATTAGTATTAGTATCATTGCGTCAGTGTCGTTTTTCGAGGTGTCTGTGCTTTATAGGTGTGTAGAAACTTCAACATCTTGAGTCAATTGTTAAGTATGTGAAGATTACTGATTGAGAGGAAAATCAAAGAACTATCAACTGAATATGACATATGCTCAATGAGAAAATTAATAGACATTTTGTTTGATGGGTATGTTTGGATGGAGTTATGTGAGGTTATCGACTACTATCAACACTTATGAGACTGATTGAGAGAGTTTATGGAAACAACTTATGACATGTCTATAAGCTATTTTTAGCTTATTTCCATAAGCTCTCTAGGATAGTTAGTGAAGTCGGTTTATAACTTATATGAAAACATTTTGACTTTATGTTTTCTCGTGTTATAGAAATAGCTTATGCATAAGACTGATATGATTAGCGCATAAGGGCTTAATTAAATTGTTTATGTACAGATGGTCTCTTACCATCAGAATACATATGTTGTTTGGTGAAAGCTGTTTATTCATCTTTATTTTCACAAAGCTATGTGTTCAACTAAAATATGTATATTCTCTTGTGTATTACCAAATTATCAATTTTTTCTGTTGTGTTATCGCTATTTCCTTTTTTTGTCAAGCAGGTGGTCAGACTGCTTGGGATATGCTCAATGAGGAAAGGTTTTCTTCTCTCGTTACCACTTCTTGTGTTGATCTAGATAACATCCTTGGTGGAGGAATTAGTTGCAAAGAAGTCACTGAAATAGGTGAGTGACTGTTTAGTAGTTTGAATTTTGAAACCATAACCATGACTTCCAATAAAATATACATTACTCTTGATTGTCGATTCCAAATAAATGTACGATAATTGTATAATCCAGTGTTTATTTATTTAGGTGGTGTCCCGGGCATTGGTAAAACCCAAATAGGGTATGCTTTGTCATTACGATTTTTTACATCATGTTTTTCGTTTTTTTTTTCCATCCTAAACTGTGAAATATTCACCAATCATCGATTATTTGATGCAAATGAGAAGAACAATGAATCTTCTTCAGGATGCTTTGAAATTTTTAATTTAAATTTTGTCATTTAAAGTATTAAGTGGTGTTTGGTTTTACAGGATTCAACTTGCAGTAAATGTTCAGATTCCACTAGACTACGGTGGCATTGGTGGGAAGGCAATATACATTGGTAAAAGCCTTAATTATATCCTAATACTTATTCACCATTTGATAAAGTTCATTGATTTTGACTTCTTGTGCCTTCTTGGAACTCAGACACTGAAGGAAGCTTTATGGTTGAACGTGTTCTACAAATTGCTGAAGCATGCATAGAAGACATGTCAGAATATAGCCACCACTTTCACAAAGATAATCAAGCTTATGGAGTTAAAATGCACCCTAATAGCATCTTGGAAAATATATTCTATTTTCGCGTTTGCAGCTATACTGAACAAATTGCTTTGGTAAATTACTTGGACAAATTTGTCACGGAGCATAAAGATGTAAGAATGATTTAATAAATTGAACTGATATTTGTAGTGAACATCTTGAAGACAAAATTTCATTTTAATTGGCCATATTCCTTCAGATCTTACTCGCCTTGGATTGTAACCACTGAAAGTACTCTTGTTTTGCTTTGTCTTCTGCTTTTGGTTGAGATTCTTTTTGTGAAACTTAAGTATTCCCTCATGATATACTGTTACTACATTATTGCAGGTGAAGATCATCATTATTGACAGCGTCACTTTCCACTTTCGCCAAGACTTTGATGATATGGCTCTCCGAACACGATTACTCGGTGAAATGTCTTTAAAGTTGATGAAGCTTGCAAGAAACTTTTCTTTGGCTGTAAGATTCAATTCATTTTGCTTGCAAGAGAGTTTAATTTTATTTTTATTGAATTTATCTTTGATTGCAGCAACGTGAGGTATCTAATATTTGCATGGATAGCTATCTGAGTTTTTGCTTTATTTGAAGGCTTTTTTCGTTCATGCCTCCAATTCCATGCTTTGGTTTGCATTGAACCAGTGTTGTCAATCGTATATAATGGAAAATAGCTTTCTGTTAAAATTCTGCTACACAATAGTGCTATATCTCCACTATATCCGCTATTTGACAATATTTTGTACCAAGTAGCATATTGCCGAAAAATAGCAGTTTGTCCAAACTCTGCTATGCTATAGAGGTATAGCGTCGGTTTAGTTGCTATTTATCAACACAACATTGAACTTGAACTCACTGGAATGCTCCAAAGTCTGCTGGAAATGACAGTTAGGAATAGGATTTCCTGCAAAGCCTCTCAAATGCTAAGTTAGTGAGTAGGTCAAAACAGAGCCTTTTAATGAAGAAAACATAAAAACTAAAAGATTGAACAATAACTTGTTTATATAGAGGGATAAATGTGACATCTTGACTCGGTAGCTGTGGAATATATGATTCCTTTGTTTTATATTCTAACTTAGTTTTATAACCAATTACGTTTTTGCTTTCTCTATTGTCTTCTTTTCTGCCTCCTTAGATTTCAATTATAAACTTGAAGGTTATGTTAAATTTTCTGGTAGGTTGTTATGTTGAATCAAGTTACAACCAAGCATATTGAAGGTTCATTTCAATTGACCCTTGCACTAGGTAAGTTTTACTTAGCTTTCACATCTCACTTAGTCTATTTTTTTCTTCACTTTTGAAGAAAACAAAATTGATTTGAGAGGTATAAAATTGATTTTGACATGTTTAGATGTTCACAAATATAACGCTGAACAGGTGATAGCTGGTCGCATTCTTGCACAAACCGGATCATCTTATATTGGAATGGCGATGAAAGACATGCATACATTGATAAGTCCCCTTCTCTTAAATCAGCTTCAGCATCATATTCTGTGACTTCTAGGGGGATACGTAATTGTAATTCTACTTCCAACAGTAAAAGAATCAAGATGGTGTGAGATTTTGAGTAAGTAGATAATGGAACATGCTTCTTCTTTTTTTTGGCTTTTCTACAATACTGGCTTTTGTGTAGCCTCAAAGCACAGTGAACTTTGTTTTGGTTATTGGTTATGGAATTTGGTTCCATTTATTAGAAGTAATTCATATTTAGTTGTACTATTACTTAACCCGTAAATTTGTTAGAGGGTATTTTAGTATTTTATCTTATTCTAGTAACCTTAGTTTTAGCTTATAAATAGGGTTGCAATCATTGTAATGTTAAAAAGTGAGTTGTGTAACCGTCATTCTCTTTAATAGAATATTTCCTCTGTTTATCATTTATTCACATTTGTACCAACAATTGGTATCTAGAGCTTCGGTTTGGATTCATTGGAAAACACGGGAAACACGAGTGAACGTGAGGCCTTGTGTGTTTGATTTTGTTTCTTAGATTCGTGTTGAATCTTGAACAAAATTTGATCAGAATTTTAATTCTGTGGGTTGGGAAACACTGTGTGAGAAATCTGAGTGTACTGTGCAAGGTAGAAGATGAACGGAAACGGCAACATGAACACCAAACTTCCAGTATTTGACGGTAAAAACTGGAATCGTTGGATGATCCAAATGCGTGTACTGTTCGGTGCTCAAGATGTTTTAGATCTTGTCACTGATGGTTATGTTCCAGTAGCAGCAGATGCGACAGATGAACAGAAAAACGCGCAAAAGGAAGTAAGGAAGAAGGATCAGAAAGCATTGTTCTTCATTCATCAATGTGTGGATGTAAATGTGTTTGAGAAGATTGCAGATTCAACGACAGCAAAGCTGCGTGAGACACACTGGTGAGATGTTATGGTGGTGAAGCTTCAGTGAAGAAGGTGAAGCTTCAGTCCTTGAGAAAGCAATATGAGAATATCAACATGAAGAATAATGAGAAAGTCTCTGAATACATCTCCAGAATGATTCTGATCACTAATGAGATGAAGGCGTGTGGAAAAACTCTTTCTGAAGAAGCAATCATGGAGAAAGTATTGAGATCCCTTACCTCTCAATTTGATTACATTGTGGTAGCAATAGAACATTCCAAAGATCTAAGCACCATGAGAATTGAAGAGCCGCAGAGCAGTCTAGAAGCGCAAGAGTTGTGTTTGACTGAGAGAACTTCTGAAAAGGAAGTAGAGCAGCAGACTCTGAAAGTAACTTCTGATAGGAGGTATCAGAAGCAGTTAGAAGCCAGGAGAAGATCTGATGGTGGTCAGAAGTCAGAAAGCTCAACCTCTGATAGACAAAAGAATGCTCAGAAGGGAAAAGAGAAGTATGACAAGAAGAAAATCCAATGTTACTATTGTAAGAAGTTTGGTCACTTTGCTAGAGATTGTTGGTCAAACAAGGAGAGAAAATCAGAAGAAGCAAACATACCAGAAGTTCTGATGACGAATCTGTGCTATTGATGGCCTCTGAATCTGATGATATGGATCTGATAGACTGGTGGTATATGGACACTGGTTGTTCAAATCATCTTACTGGAAACAAGAAATGGCTGGTTGACTTTGACTCTGAAAAGAGAACAAAGATCAGATGTGCTGATGACAAATATCTTAACGCAGAAGGTATGAGAAATGTCAGAGTGATTCTGAACAATGGGAAAACAGCCTTGATTCAGAACGTGTGGTATGTACCTGGCATCAGAAGCAATCTGATGAGTGTGAGACAATTAATTGAGAAAGGTTTTTCAGTTACCATGAATGACAATCTTCTGAAGCTGTATGACTGCAATCAGAAGTTGATTATGGAGTCAGAACAGGGAAGAAATAGAACATTCAAGGTGAATGTCAAAACTGCAGACTCAGAATGTCTTAGTGCAACAAGTGCTGAGAAGGAGAGTGAGCTGTGGCACAAAAGATTCGGTCATTTGAATTTCAGAAGCTTAAAACATCTGAATTCAAAGAAGTTGGTACATGGAATTCCTGCAATTAAGAAGCCTGAAAAGTCATGCAAAGTTTGCATGGAAGGAAAACAACCACGATTGCCATTTGCGTCAGAAGCTGCTCCAAGAGCAAAACATGCCTTGGGAGTTGTACATTCTGATGTGTGTGGTCCATTTCCAATAGCATCGATTGGAGAGAATAAATACTTTGTGTTGTTTGTTGATGAATTCACAAGAATGACATGGGTATCCCTTATTAAGTCTAAACACGAGGTGTTTGATGAATTCAAGAAGTTCAGAATGAAGGCTGAGAATCAGAGTGGTCAGAAGTTGAAGATTCTTAGAACTGACGGTGGAGGTGAGTATAACTCCAAAGAGTTCCAGAAGTTCTGTGAGGAGAATGAAATTGAGCATGAGGTTACTACTCATTATACCCCTCAACACAATGGTTTTGTTGAAAGAAGAAACCGTACTTTGCTTGATATGGTGAGAAGCATGCTAAAGGAGAAAAAGCTTCCTCAAAAGCTCTGGGGAGAAGCTGTTGCCACTGCAACGTATGTACTCAACCGATGTCCTACGAAGAAGTTGAAGGAAATAGTTCCAATACAAAAGTGGACTGGAGATAAGCAAAGTGTTAGTCATTTGAAGGTGTTTGGTTCTATTTGCTATAAACATGTTCCAGAAGCCCGAAGACAGAAGCTGGATGATAGAAGCAAAGTGATGATTCTGATAGGGTACCACAGTACAGGTGCATACAAGCTCTATTGTCCAGAAACCAATAAAATTGAATTCAGCAGAGATGTGATTGTGAAGGAATCAGAAGTTTGGAATTGGGATAAGTCTCAATCTGATTCTGATGTTAGAACTTCTGAAGAAAGGTCAGAGTTAAGAATTTCTGAAATTGGAGTAAACTCTGACGTTGACTCTGACTCTGATAGTGATTCAGACTCTGGAGAAGACTCAAAAGATGAAAGTGACTCTGATGATCCAGACTCTGATGGCAATCCAGATTCTGGTGGCAATTCAGACTCTGGAAATATGCCAGACTCTGAAGATGGTCAAAGCTCTGGAGGAAGTCAATCATCTGAAACTAGAAACTTTGAAGCTCAAGACTCTGAACAAGTTCAGAGACCACAAAGAATAAGAAACGTCCCCAGAAGATATGCAGAATTTGACATGCTGCAAGACACTGAAGTAGACTCTGAAGGAGAAGTTATTCAGTGTGCCATGATAGTAGACTCTGAACCCATAAGTACAAAAGAGGCTCTTAAGCAGAAGCTCTAGCTGAAGGCCATGAAAGAAGAACTTGATGCTATAGAGAGAAACAAGATTTGGAAGCTGACAGAACTTCCAAAAGACAAGAAAGCCATCAGCGTCAGATGAGTTTTCAAGCAGAAGTTAAAGCCAGATGGTTCAATTGGCAAACATAAAACAAGGTTGGTAGCCAGAAGATTTCTACAGAAACCTGGGCTGGATTATTCTGAAGTGTTTGCACTTGTAGCAAGACATGAAACAATCAGAATGGTGATTGCAATAACTGCTAACAGGAATTGGCCTTTGATGCATTTAGATGTAAAATATGCATTTCTGAACGGTCCATTAGAAGAAGAAGTTTACGTGTCACAACCTCCTAGATTTGTGAAAAAGAATTAGGAAGGGATGGTGTACAGATTATACAAAGCTCTATATGGATTGAAACAAGCGCCCAGAGCTTGGAATCAGAAGATTGATTCATTTTTCAAGAAGCAAGGCTTTCAGAAATGTGAGATGGAGTACGGTGTTTATGTTCAGCATACTTCTGAAGGCAATATGACTCTGGTGTGTTTATATGTTGATGACATACTGCTGATTGGAAGTTCTAAACATGAGATAGCCAAGTTCAAGAAAGTTCTGATGAATGAATTCGAAATGACTGATCTAGGCAAAATGACATACTTTCTAGGGATGGAGTTCAGATATTCTGAGAAAGGTATTGTAACACCCATTTTAATTATTTTTGGTTTCAGAGATATTTTATTCGCGGATGTGTTTTGAGAAATTAATTGGAGAATCAAGAACTCATGATATTGGTGTACAATGAAGAAAATGTGATAGTTGATAGTAATGTAATATTATTATTAATTATTATCATTATTATTACTAATATTAAAATATGAGAAAAATATAATCAAATGGAATTTTGGAATTAAGTGGATTTTTCGAATTAAAAGAAATAAGAGGATTATTATTATTTGGATTTTTGGATTAAAAGAATTATGAGAATATGATTTATTGGGATTAAAAGAGAATTATTCGGGATGAGGGGTAATATTGGCATTTGGGAAAATTAGAGAAACACATGCACGGGGAAGCAAGCGAAGGACACGATTGAGGAAGGCTGAAGCAAGAGTTGAAGCTTGGCCAGGAGATCATCAAGATTATCAATTCGTGTGGATTGAGAAGCTTCATCAACATCAGCATCGAATTTGAGGTAAAGGGGGGGGGGGGAGATTGATCGGTTGAATGGGTATTTGCATGAATAAATTGGTAGAGGGAAATCCCCTAATTCCCATGGATGATGATGAATGATGTTGATACATGTATAAATTCTGTTATGATTGTGATTGTTATGTTGAAAGTTCATTGCATGTGCTGTGGGGCAATGGTTTATGTGAAATTGGGGTTTCAGGTAGTTCGAGGTTTATTGTCGGAAGTTGGATAATTGAGCAGATAATGAGGTTTATCGGGTAAAATTGAGTTTGGATGTTGGGGCTAGGTTGTAGAACCTTAAGCCGATGATTTTAGTGTTGTCTCGATGGAAATTGGAGAGTGGGAGAGCTGTTGATTTCTGAGCAGCAGTTTTATTTTTTTTCCAGAATCGCAGACATTCGCTAGCCCATCGCTAGGCGAATGCCTGACGAGCATTCGCTAGCAGCTCGCGTAGCGAGCGTGTAGCGAGCCTTGGCAGTGGCTGTTTTTCTGTACTCGCTAGCAAGTTCGCTGAGCGAGGTAGTAGCGAGCACTTCCAGTAGCTCAGAAGTGTGGTTCGCGAGGAGGTTCGCTAGGCGAACGTGTAGCGAACACTCGCTAGGAGCTCGCGTAGCGAGCAGGTAGCGA